AATCCGGGAGTCCATCCATCCAGTACACGCATATAGATTTTATCTCTTTCAAAGAATCAAGGTGTTACCCGGTGGATTGGTTATTGTGTACCCTATCAACAGGGAGGTCCTGAGTTCAAATCACAGCCATATGAATTAATTTTTGTGCGGAAGCACATGTAAAGTTTGTGTATTAAGGGGTGACGAAAGGAGAACAAAAAACCTACCTCCTTTCAAATCTCCGCCGTCAATCTTTATGATTAACGTAAAATCAATGGATCTAAAAGGATGATGTATGGAGAATTATGAAAGCCTCCGTCCATTATTATTAGGTATAGGTATAGGTATAGATATAGATATAGATATAGATATCTCTCCCTAATAATAAAGCACGGATTGGGTCTCCGGGTTCACCGTCGCGGCGCTTTAAAAAAGGTCCCTGTGGTTTTTATGCAATCAACCTGCAGTCCCTTTTTTAAGTGAAACCTTGAAAACGCTTCGTTTTTACAAAAAAAAACTCTATTAAACCAAACCAATCCTCTGCCTCCTCCCCTGCTCTTGCCATCGCCCGCAGAACACCACCCAATTCATCGCTCGCTCTCCGAGATGCAAGCGGCCGCGGCGGCCGGGAGTGGACGCGCGGGGGAGAAGTAGTTCGGGTCTGCGCCGCCGCCCTTTGCCTCCACCCCACCACCGTCCACGCCGCCGCCACCACCGCCGTCCGCGCAACCGCCCTTTGCCGCCGCCCACACCGCCGTCCGCGCCACCACCACCGCCGTCCTTGCGCCGCCCTTTGCCTCCGCCCCCACCGCTGTCCAAGCCGCTCTTGGCGTCACCGGGGATCCCAGTCGCGCATTGAATCCATCGCAAAGGATCTCGAGGCCTGCCGCCCCGCCCGGCGCGCCCATCTAGAGGCACATGCTCTCCACGGATCCATTGGATCCCTTGCCGCCTCTCCTCCTCTGTGCTTCGCTGGAGAAGCCTTTTTGATCGTGGCCTTGCCCTGGATGCTAGATTCTGCGGTTCCTCACCTGCAATATGGATTATGGAAGTGCATCTGCACCTGGGGCGCTAGCTGCTGATGGCCAGAGATAACCGCGATGTGTACGAGGTGAGAGAATTTTCCTCACTAGGTAGCAATCTACTTTGATTCTTTACCATCAAGCATCTCTTCATAATCAATTATGCTTAGTTTTTGATAGTCACACGACAACCCCTAGCAAGCCTTTGGTGGAAACATCGAGTATTGTTTAAGATTTGTTGTCCACGGGAAACTAATTAATGTATTTGGTGGATGTACAGGGCTACGTAGTGGTTGCAGTCTTGTATTAACAAGTGAACAATTTAGTGTTCATTGGCAACAAAAAGAAGTGAATAATACCATGCTATATTTAGTGTTGCTTCCTGGTCCTTGGTAGATGATGCATTCTTCTTCTGCATTGAAATTTGGAAATTGAATCTGCATAGTATTTGTCCGTATTTCTCCAAGATCTGAGCATACCATCTTAGGAACTTCTGAAACTTCCTGGTGGGACATAAGTTCAGGAGTGTAATTTATCTCAAGTGTGTATTGAACCTTAATAATAAGGAGATTCTGTTATTTCTTTCTCAATTTACTTGCATCTTCAGAAATCTGGTGTATAGAGCAGCATTGTTCAGTCTGCGTGGTTATATTATTCTGAAGTTTCAAGGAACAAAAATGATGTATATTTGAAGACGTACGGGTTGGGAACAAAAATAATGTGATTTCGTGGAACAACATTAAATAGGCAGGAGGACAATGGATATTTTTGGGTCAGTATTTTCCAATTAGATACATATTTCAACTTGCAATTAGGAGGTTCTGAACCTCTCTTTTCTTGATGGAGAGCATGCAATGAAAAAACCACCACCACTGGTATGTATGTAAAAAAAGATAAATAAAAATGAATTACCTCATTTAATCTATTGTCTTGTAAAATAGGGCCGATTAGACGGAGAACCTATAAAAACAAGAGTCGCCATCTATTCTTCCCGAAACCCTATTTCTTCTTGTCCTACGTACTTCCGATCCATCTCCCACGGGCGGCGGAAGCAACAGGCATCGACGTCGATCCATCCACTTTTAAGGTACGTACGGAGCTGTTTCGCCTCATTCACATTCCTGGTGTGGTGTCCGTGATCGATCTACACACTGGAACGTACTGCCGTGTTGCCTCACGGACTTTGTTGCTCACCCCGGTTAGACCTTAGGACAATACTATAAATTGCTGTTCCCTCCAATCCAAATTAATTGACGCAGCTTTAATACAAATTTGTATTAAAATTGTACTTCCTTCATCTCAAAATAAGTGACTCGACTTTGTACTAATGATGAAGGAAGTACTAAGAGCATGTTTGAGACTGCTCTACTCCTTAAAATTCAGCTCCGCTCCAGAAAACACAAGCCAAACAGGGTAGCTCCATGATATGCCACTCCGCAAAAAAACTAGAATCCAGGGTACAACTCCCAGTTTTTTAGGAAGCTCTTTAGGGGGTGCTCCAAAAAACTCTGGAAGCTGGAGTTGGGTGGAAATTACCCGTCACTGCCACTAGTAAGTGGATACCCCTTCGTTTCTCCCCTCTCAACCAATCAAATAGTTCTTTTCCACCAAATTTCCCATTCTTGAAGCTGGAGCTAGATGGAAGCCAAACATTCTCTTTGGTAGTGCTACAACTTCTGTATGAAACTGCTCCAAAGTGAATTTAGTGGAGCGAAGCTGATTTTGGTGAAGTGGAGTAGTCCCAAGCAGGCCCTAAAGTAGTGTCAAGTCAACTAATTTGGATCAGAGATTCTATCTAATTCTTCCCGAAGAAACTATTGCTATATTTCTATGGATCGGTCAAACTTTCTGAATAGCTAAACATCTGCGGCCGGTCTGTTGGATTTGTTAACGTTTATGTCTGCAATTGTTCTAAAACATATGTATATGAGTGTAACAACTAGTAATCTTTCTTTTTTTGCCATATTTCAGAGAGCTCTTTTACAGTACCCCTAAATGATTATGAGCCCTCCATTTCTGTTAATCCAATGGATGATCTCAATTGGTACTCCAACAAGTGTACGAGAGAGTACCAACTAAAAAAGCAAGGGAGTACCTCGAGCTTAGGGGTAAAAATGTAATCTAGAAGCAATTTGTATAATTTATTATTCTCGTCTAAGTATGGCTGCTACATAATAACGTTTCAACTTGAACGTGATTAATTATATTTGGAACCCTAATTCTTCATTGGGATAGATGCCGGCAGAGGCGGCCCCGCGGCAGAGTTGGCCATCAAGATATGGTCGCCAAGCCAAGAACTTGTTTGAGGCGTCGACCGGGTATGGTCACTAACCAGAGCCACGCTGAAGCAAGATGACCAGGGCGAGTCAAGATCACCAGGTCAGCCGGAGCTCCATCATGCGGGCGTTGTCTAAACGCTGGACGTTCATATGTGCGGTTGATCTGTCCGATAAGGTTCAACATGAAAGGACGGGGGACTGGCTGCTTTTATAGAGGCAGGCTTGGTATCTGGCGGTGGTGATGAACGATTTGCTTGCAATCGATCCCTCTTACCATAACAATGTTATTTTCTGTTTTAATTGCCTGTGTAAATGAGCGATCTTGTGTGATTTTCCAGAATTTGTAGCCAAGGTCTGTTATATTGATGCATCCCGTGCAATGAAAATCAGATCCGTCCACTAATTGATAGAATTTTCCGGCCTTCTTCGTTTTGAGAGATCAATCTGCGTTGTTATCTATTCATTGGCCGTGCTTTGCGAAAGAGAGCAGGCGGCAATGGCGCCGTAGTCAACACCACGGTGTAGCGAGGTAGGAAGCCCTGCACGAGGGATGACATTGGTGGCGGCACGCCTAACAGATAGGCCGATAACACTCTCGTTACCAAACAGTTTTTGCGAGATCTGGTCACAAAGAAATCAGTTAAGACCATGAGAAAAATGACTAGACTACCCTTTTAAGTGGACGGTCAGATTTTAGTGGTACTCCATCCATTCTTAAGGGAGTACCAGGGTACCGTAAAAGTCATTTCAGAACAATGTACATCTTGGTCAAGAACCCCGCGGGTAGGATGATCCGCCTTAGGGTCAGGCCATTACATACCTTGGGTGATGTCAAGACAATAATCCAGCAGCGCCATTTCCTCGTCTCCAACGGGGTGCAGCTAGACGATAACTGTACGCTGGCTGGTTACAACATCCAGCATGAATCCACGCTCGAGCTCCAAGAGAAGATGCAGATCTGCGTGACGGAGACACTGATGAACAGGACCATCCCGCTCGATGTCGACAGCCTAGACACCATCGACGACGTGAAGGCCAACATATATGGCCTCCAGGGCTTCCCCAGTGCTCAGCAGTGCCTCATCTTTGCCAGCAAGCGGCTGGAAGAGGGGAACCGCACCTTGGCTGATCATAACATCATCATGGAGTCTACTATTCTCCTTGTTCTCCTCCCTTGTATATCGAGAGGAGACATGATGCAGATCCATACAAAGTCGTTATCAGGAAAGACCATCTCTCTTGAGGTTGGGAGTTTGGATACCGTCGAGAGTGTCATGGTGAAGTTGTATGAGAAGAACTTCGCCTCTTATCCAAGCCAGCAGCGCCTCATCTTTGCAGGCAAGACGCTGGAAATAAGGCGAACCCTAGCGTACTACAACATTTCTAGTGATTCTACCCTTTGTTACGTGCCCTGCCTTTGCGGTTGTTGAGATAGATGGCTGCTATTGAACAACCAGTTTCTATTTTCCTGCACTCTCAAGTTCCGATAGTAGTCTGCTCCACTCTTGTTCCCTTTCAGCAGTGGTGTGTTATCACTTATCAGTAAAACGTAACATACGTATCATTTAGTACTAGATTTTTTTTTGAGAAGAGGCTATTACAAAAAATCCGGCATACTTTTATCCATGTGTATATTATCATAAGTATAATAAGTCCGGGATCCCTGATGATTTAGGGCTTATGTCGTTTCATTTCTGAGAATCTGTGTCTTTATTTACTTCATAAGGTTATTTAGGGGCTTCCTGCTCATTGAGTATAGCCATGGCACTTTTGATCCAGCTTGTACGCCTTGATTCAAAAACTTGGGGGCTTCCTGCCCATTGAGCATAGCTATGACTACCCTATTGATTCTGCTTGTATGCCTGGATCACAATATTACTTGGAGGCTTTTTGTTGAATGAACAAAAGCTTTGTTGTCTCTAGTAATAGGCTTGGTCACCAGGTGTATTCACCAACACACCGGGTTATCCTGCCTGTGTAAGTTTGCCACTCCGACCAGGTAATTCTGGAATGACTCGTCGTACGCTTAACAGTCAATCTTTTAAAACAAGTGAACTTGTTAAAGTTAAAACGGCGATTTGGTCATGTGAGGCCCGGCTTACAGGTTTGAATTAAGGAATAACTCAATGGCTGTGCAGCCCTTGAATAACACTTGATTTTGAGGCCTGGCAGCCATTGAATGCCTTGATCTTTTCTGTTTTCTTTTGCCTTTGAATATTTTTGATGACTTATATATTTGTGCCATATTGATATATGGTCGAAATTCGATTCAGGCCATGATGCCTTGATCTTGATTTGATAAAATCCGGTGTTTTGATAACCCGGCCTGGCTTTGGACGTTGAGTCGCCAACATATGATTCATGGAATTCTGCCCGAGGCGTTGTAAGCCGGCGGCATGGATAAATTACACAGTGTTGCACTCTGTATTGGGATTGTTGGCTTATTGTATTTGGCCTTGTAAGCCGGCAATACACATAAGTATCACATGTATGATATTTATTTTGTTATATTTATATGAGGTTTTGATAAACCGACCCTGGTTCTGGACGATATGGTCACCAGTGGTTTGTTATATAGTGGTTTGTTATATGGGGCTTTTTGACCTGCCTTGGGGTAAGCCGCCAAGCTATTTGTGCTCTGTTTTGTATGCAGGGCATATAACAATCTGCTTCGGCAAAATTGATAATGACTATGAGCTTGAATATTAGATCATCAAAGAAGATCAAATACAGCTCATCAAAGAGTTCTGCAAGTAAACATGCGTGATGGCATGGTAGACAAATTGTTTGATAGCTAGCCTATTACAAGACAACTGATGGCCCAAAAGAATAATTGTTTTGGCAGAGAACTTATGCTAAGCCGGCCCGCGGTTACTGATCTTGGCCTCGATGAGTTGAAGGTTGTGGATCATCCAACACTGGTTCATCCTGCTCCTCTTCACCCAATGGCTGGAAATCAGTAGTGGCCTAATTGATACCAGTCAAAGCTCTGAATACAGCTTCATCACTTATAAGGGATGATGGGTCAACATCAGGGGCAAAAGTGTGCTTGCGGATCAGAGGAGTCAGGTCCTGTGAATCGTGAACCGACGCCTTGACCTTCTTGTTGTCGGCGTCATAAACCGACTGATAATGTGAAAGATTGGTATCTTCAGCTAGCTTACTGGCCAAAGGACGCATTTCCCTTGCTATTGTGGCAAAGTCTTCTACACTGAAGGGTGACCTGTCTTCTTTTACGCTCGGGCAGACGTTTGCCAAGTCTGCCGGCTCAAGATCGGCTTGCCATGCTTTGGCCCGGGTCAGCGCGGTGAGCGCACCGGCTCTTGCAACTGATTTCTTCAACTCTTCGATCCGCAGAGGCAGCACATATAGCTTCTCCAATGTGTCTTTGATGAGAGTTGGAGGCTATTTTTTTGTGAGCAGCTGTGCAGATGGCTTGTTGCGCGCCAGTATATAACTGCTCTATGAGAGTGTAGGAGGCTTTCATATTTTTGCGCATATCTGTGCCAAGGTGGGCAACACTGGAGCCTACATCATCAAGAAAAATTTATTGGCCGGACAAATATTTATTAAAGTGCATTCAAAGAAAATATTGAGTTGAAGTTACCCGAAGATGGCAGCAGTCATGGCATTGACTTGATGTTTTAAGCTGGCAACTCTTTAGCTACCGGCTAAAGGGCCGCTTCAGCGTCCTCATCTCTCTTCAACAGGGCTGACTTCTCTGTATCCCAACGTGCCTGTCCATCTTTGAAGTCTTTCTTCAGCTTCTCCATATATGCTAAAGCAGTGGTCAATTCAGTTTTGGCCTTGGAGGTTTCTGCTTGCTGAGACTTGATGTTCTTTTGAAGGTCGGCGACTTGGGATTCTTTGTTATTAAGCTCAGCCTGAAAGATATAAACAATGAGTAGGGTGGCTATGAGTTTATTTGAGAAGCCCCAACCACAATACAAGTATTTTACTTGGCACTGGGGGGGGGGGGCTAATGCAGCTTGCTCTTTTTCAAGACAAATTTATGATGACCTAGTTGTTATATGCTGATTATAGCCGACTCATGGGGGCTATGGTCTCAAATTGTCTCGATACGTATGGTATTGAGACCCGGCTTATCTTGACAGTTTAAAACTGGCCCTTGCGGGCTACAGATGTGAAATTACAATGTTATTATCTAAAGTCCCGGCTCATCTCGACAGATTAAGCTGGCCTTGGGGGCTACACATGCAAAGTTGAAGTGTTATTATTGAAAGTCCCGGTTTATCTTGAATGTATAAACCGGCCCTTGGGGGCTACTAGAATTGGTCTATGAAGTTATTGAAGATTACAACACATTCTATTCTATTATGTCCAATAAACTTGGCGGCTAAGGGAAGGATATTTATATGGAAAATGGTTGCAGTATTTACCTCAAAGCGCTCCTTCATCAAGTTCACTAAGCCAGCTTCATAGTCATGGCTTGTGTAAAGACCGTTCAAATACCCTGAATGAATCTCTTGGGCACTGAAATTGGCATAGCTGTCCAGATTGGTTGACCACTTGCCCTTGTCAGCAATGGAGATTTCTACCTTAGTGCTATGCTTTGACAGGACAGTGGGTTTGCCTGGTTCTGCATAACTGTGCCTAGTAATGGTAACATCATCATCTTTTTCTTCAGCTGGCTTGATAGGGCTTGCTGGCTTAATGGGGCTTGGCAGGTCGGTGGTGGCTGGGTCAACATCCATCTGGTTTATGTCAACATTGTGGTCTACCCGTGGCGGCTCATCAACTATGGCTTGAGGGGCTTGATGAGAGGTCTCTGCGGACCGCTGCTCCAACTCAGAAGGATTTTCAGGAGTTTTGTCACCTTCATCTTCTTGCTAGGCTTTGCCATAGCCCTGCGAATGAAACACAAGATAAGGTTAGTACAACAGTTGAGTATATAATTGCAAGCAAAGATTTGACAATTTTACCCTGGCACTAGTTTGAAAGCTGGGACATGAGTCCCCGTTGAGTCGCCAGAGGAAGAATGAGACGTCCCCTGATAATTTGAATCAGAAGGATTAAGATGTTGACGATAAAGACCGGCCCGGGGTTAAGTTAAGTCGGGATTGGTTGAGACCTCTGGACGACGCTTGCGAGGAGCTGTGGTGTTCGATAAGCCGGAAGAAAGGATCCCACTTCCGCTGTTCTGGATTGTGCGGCGAGCTTCATGTTGCCGCTTCTTCAAAATAAAGTTGGGATCCAAATAAGCCAAAGGATGAGAAAACCTTACTTTCCGGTTTGCTTGGCGAGTTTTCTGTTTTGGCGCAGACTCTGAGCCGGAGGAAAGAAAAATTACCTCATCGTCACCTGCACGGCTGGCTTCAGCTTCCTCCTAATAACAATCATTGTCAATGAGATGTATAAAAAATGAGCCAAGAGAGTCAAGTTCTACCTCCAACTCATCATCATCTCCGTCGTCGTCCAAGTTTAACTTGGTGGGATCGGTGGTCTTCTTCTTGGCAGGCCTCTTAACGGCCTTAGTCTTGGTGTGATCCGGTTTGGCCGGCTTATCTTGCGGTTTCTTCTTCCAAAATGGAGAGTCGGCCTGCTGAGGTCAAAAGATAATAAGTGGGCGGTATTAATACAAAAGTGATTGAATGGAAAGTGTGCAACACTTACAACTGGCGGCTTGTTGAAGGTGCAGAAAGGACTAAGTCATGTTTTACTCCATTTTTCCCAAGATTCGTTCAGCAATGCCTTGGTGGCTTCAATGATTTCTGCGTCAGATAGTTGAATGTCGCAGTTGCGCTGGGGATATTTTAAATCGCCAGTATATTCGCACATTAAGCCGGGGCGACGACTTAATGGCAAGATCCAGGAGACCCAGCACCGAACAAGGTCGATGTCGGTTAAGCCATTAGCCATAAAGGCTCTGAGCTTAGAAAATGTGGGCACATACTTGGCCCGCTCCTTCGTGCTGATCCGTGGGGGGAGTGGATGTGCATTGCTAAGCCGGTGGTCGCCGTAACCCGATAGAGGATTTTTTTTCTGCTAGAGATGTCTTTTGATAGTAGAACTAAGTTTGGTTCCAATCCTTGGGATGACTCGGCGGCTTGGCATAGGGAAAGATGCCTTCTCTCCTCTTCTGAATTGAAACTCCACCGAGTTCCAAGCTAGACCCGTCAGTGAACTCTGTCTGACAGTTTAAGTAGTAAAACTCTCTAAACAATTCAACTGTGGGCTCCTCTTGAAGATAAGCTTCACAGAATACTTAGAAGTTGCAAATATTGTACATGGAATTGGGTCCAATGTCTTGAGGGTGAAGCTGGAAAAAATGAAGTATGTCGCGGAAAAACTTTGAGCCGGGCGGGCTGAACCCCCGGATCATGTGGTCAATGAAAATAACCACTTCTCCATCCTTGGGCTTAGGAGGATTTTCTTTGCCAGGGACCCTCTAGTGGATGTCCTCTTTCTT